ATATATATAGTTTACTGGTACTTCAATATATAACTGATCATTCATTCAATCAACTGATTTTATAATATTTTTTCCTACTGATCATATTATCTATTTTACTGATCACTTAAATCCATGCCAATATGAAATACGAAGATTAGTGTTAATCAGTAGCTTTTCAAGGTACCATACCAATAGATGGACTGATTTTCAGTTTATTAAGTAATTCTTGATGTAAATAGGCAGCAATATATTCTACGAAGCACAGCGCTGCTGTATCATTTCGATAACTTACTCCTGCAACCTCAGCAGGCAACATGTTCACCTGTAGTTTTTCAAGTAAAGAACATAAAGATTCAATATTGTTGAGAGGAATATCGTTTTGGCATAAATAAATACAAGATAACATTAAATTATGAACACATTGTTGGTGTTTGCTGAACTGTTGTTGTCGGGTTTTACTCCAATCAGGTTGAGCTTTTGACGAAACAACGAGTTCTTGTTCCTCAGCTTGCTTATGTACCTCACTCTTTTCCTTGTGAAATTTAATCTTGTCTAATGAAATCGTCGTCATTCCTGCTCCACACCAAACATTGTCTTTTCCTGAATAAACAAATCTTATATTGTCAAATTCAAGAAGTTTTCGCTCAAAAAATTTAAATAAGTAAAAGATATTGCTGAAAACCTATACTTAATATGGAAATAGATGTACAGTCTTCTAATATTATCTTACCATTTGTATTTCTTATTTTGCTAAATTTTTCATACAACTTGCAATGTATAGCGTTGTTCATGTAATACAACCAGCACAAATACTTTTCTTGTCGATCACCAAAAGAATCAAAAACATATGTCTTGTATTGTGCATCAATTAATGATTCCCAAGAAGATTTATATTGAATACGATGATTTGAACGAAAAGATTTTGCTTTCTTATTAACACATTCTTTAACAATAATTGATGAAGCTTTATTTTGATCACGATTATGATTTGATGATTTATTGGATGATTGTTCATTAATAGCTTGATTTTGATCTTCATTGCCAGCTAAATGTTCATTTTCAACTTCATTACCAACTAAATGTTCATTTTCAACTTTATTACCAACTAAATGTTCATTTTCAACTTCAACTTCATTACCAACTAAATGTTCATTACCAACTAAACGTTCATTACCAACTAAATGTTCATTACCAACTAAACGTTCACTACCAACTAAATGTTCATTACCAACTAAATGTTCATTACCAACTAAATGTTCATTATTCAATACCAAATCATTTTTACATGGTGATGGTGTTGCTTGAGGTTCAGCAGTAGTTAATGATGGAGAATTGAGTGGTAATGATAATATCTCCACGTCATTTTCTTTTGAACATGTAAAAGAATTACTTGGAGTTGGAGATTTTTTTTTATTCCAAAGCAAATCTAACTTCAGTTGTAAACTATTCATTATGAATACATCTAAAATAAAATTCAAAAATAAAAATATAGGAATAATAATTATATTAGAATTTACTGGAAACAACAGCAAAAATCTAAAAAAGATTATAAAATAAAAATAAATCTAAACTGGACTGGACAAGAAAAATTCATCATATATAACGAATAATCAAATAATTCAAAAGAGGTCGCTATCTATACTCTAGAAAAAATAAGATTTTTTTAGTGTATGCGTTTGTTCACATTCACATAGTTTATGTCTATGGAACTTCACAATGTTTTTCAGTCAGGCAAAGTGTATATCGTACACTCTGCTTTTTCAATCAAAGTGTATATCAGCGTGTACTTTCATAGGTGCAAATGTTTGTACATTTTGCTTCTGCTGTGTACACTTGCCATTAGAAACACTGGTCTACTGTGCTAGCACTATTCTTCCGGTTGCTGAAAAATATAACCAATCATCAATAGATATCTTAATTTTCCAATTCGATGATTTTCAAACATCTACAATAACGGTCGAGTGAGTATATAAGAACGTCTATCAGTCATACAAGCTCATTTATTTCTTCTTCCACTATCCGGACGCTTCATTTATTCTCTCAAATTGTCAAGGTAAGGACGATGAAACTTCCAAAGTTCGAGTTGAGATTTTTCAAGAAAAAAAATTTGTAAGACTTGACTAAAAGTTTTCAGGGTCAAGGAATCCGAATCTAAAATCGGTTTCTCCAAATTTTATGCTCAGTTATACGATAGAATGTTGTCGTTGGAAATTTTTTTTAATTATTTTGAGAAAATTTTCAATAATTAGCAAATTTTTTTAAAATTATTTTGAAAAAATATTAAATAATTGAAAAAATTTTTTACAATTATTTTAAGAAATATTTAGATTTTTGTTAATTTTTTTAACCTTTTTTTCCCAAGATTCAAAGAAAATAGTGGATATATTTTGACGAAACGATTTTAGCTTTTTTGAAAACCTTTTCGGAAAGGAAAATTTTTGGAAATAAGAGATTTTTCTCCAATTTCAATGTTATTCTTAAACAAAAAGAAATTGTAATCATTTTGAAATTTCAGTTATATTAGAGTTGATATCATGAAGTATTTTTTTCTGTAAGAAAACCAGTTCTTGATAATTTATTCCGAAAATCAGTTGTTCTGCTTTTATTTTATGTAAAGGCTTTAATGAAATGTTACTTCACTGAATAACTTTTTATTTTTATATACACTTTGTTTGAAAATAAGTGTTAATCTATAGACTTTGTACTGTTTCTTTGGTGTGCTGGAGAAATGTCGAAAGGAAAAATGTCGAAAGGAAAAATATCGAAGGAAAAATATCGAAAGGAAAAATGTCGAAAGGGAAAAATATCGAAAGGGAAAAATGTCGAAAGGAAAAATGTCGAAGGGGAAAAATGTCGAAAGAAAAAATATAGTAGAGGAAAAATGTCGAAAAATAAATATCGAATTATTGTTGCTTTTCTTATGATTCTACTAGTTTAGATTCTAAACCA